TGGACAAGTTTTTAGAAGAAAACTTATCCAGTGGGAGAATCTGACCATCAAAGTCACCAATAGCATCATCCTTCTTTTTCATCAAAAAGAAGGATGGGAAACTCTGACCAGTACAGGATTATTGGAAGCTAAACAAGATGATGATCAAGAATCATTACCCACTTTCTTTGATTGCAGAGTTGATGGACAAGCTCTGAGGTGCCAAGTACTCCACCAAACTAGACGTCCGGTGGGAATACAACAATGTATGCATTAAAGAAGGTGGTGAGTGGAAGGCCGCTTTTCAAACTAATCATGGATTGTTTGAACTGATGGTCATGTTCTTTGGGCTCACTAACTCACCAGCCACATTCCAGTGGATGATGAACAACATCTTCAAAGATCTCATTGCCACTGGAAAAGTCACCATCTATTTGGATGATATCCTCATCATGACCAAAACCAAGGAGAAACATCAAATGATAGTATGATAGATACTATCATGAATGAGGAAACATTGACTCTTCCTCAAAGCCAAGAAGTGCGAATTCGAAGTACTAGAAACAGAATACCTCAGAGTAATCATCAGTGAAGGAAGCATTCAGATGGACCCCATCAAGATAGTGGGAGTAACCAAATGGCCAGAGCCAATGAAGAAGAAGGAATTGCAATCTTTTTTAGGATTCACCAACTTCTACCACCGGTTCATTTGGGACTACAGCAAAATAGTCCATCCAATGACACAATTAACTGGAAATTCCCCATGGACTTGGGGAATTTTCCAATGGGAAGCGTTCAATAACCTTAAACACCAATTAGCCAAAGACGTTATCCTGGCCATACCCAGCCAGGATGGAAAGTTCCAGGTGGAAGCCAACTCCAGCAAAGGTGCAATTGGGGCTGTACTATCACAGGAACAGGATGGCAAATGGTGACCTGTTGCCTTTATGTCAAAAGTGCTCACAGTAACTGAGCACAACTACGAAATCTACGATAAGGAACTCCTCACCATAATGCTCACCCTTGCCGAATGGTGGCATTATCTCATTGAAGCAGCTCAGACCTTTGAAATCTGGACAGATCATCAGAACCTCTGATATTTCTGACAACCCCAAAAGCTTAATTGCAGACAAGCCAGATGGGTCACAGAACTATCCGAATACGAATACACACTACACCATAAGGCTGGTGTAGCAAACAAGAAGGCTGACTTCCTTAGCTGCAGGACAGATCATAATCAAGAAGGGGACGACAACAAGGAGGTCATATTATTATGACCAGAACACTTCCAAGCTATGATCATGCCCATGGAAGAAGAGACACATGAACATATCAAGAGCGCCACTCAGGATACCCACAAGTGGGACCAGAGGATAGTCCCATCACTCAATCATGAGCGGGGACTGAAGAAAGAAGGGGGATTAATCTGATATGATGGATGGATCTACATTCCAAGAGATCAAAAGCTTCATGGTGATATTATCGCCACATGCCATGATCATGCAATGGCTGGACACCCTAGGATTGCAAAAACAAAAGAGCTTGTATTGAGGGAATATTGGTGGCCCAAGATGGACCATGATATCACCCGATATGTGAAAGCTTATGAAACTTGTCAAAGGGGCAAGTCATCAACCCAACTATGAGCAGCACCACTCCACCTGAATGAGGTCTCTTCATCACCATGTACCCATATTTCGGTGGACATGATAACTGGACTTCCCAAAAGTAACAGCTATGATGCAATCATCATCATAGTCAATCGCTTCTCGAAAGCAATCATTCTGATCGCTTGCTCAACAGAATTGACATCTGAGGGGTGAGTGAAGATATTATGCGATGAGGTATATGCAAAGTATGGCATGCCTCAAGTAGTGATTTCAGACAGAGGGCCACAATTTGTCTCCAAATTCCTGGATGACCTATATCGGCTGCTCAACATCAAACGTAATGCCTCAACAGCATATCACCCACAGACGGATGGCCAAACAGAATGGGTCAACCAAGAAATTGAAAAGTATTTACAACTTTTCATTAATTATCAATAGGATGACTGGACGGAATAGCTAGCACTAGCAGCATTTCAACACAACAACAGAATTCATTCAGCAATGGGCAAGACACTGTTCTTCATAAATTATGGATGGAACCCACCAGTTATGCAAACAGGATGGATTCACACAACAACACCAGCATCAACGGACTTTGCAAAAATGATGGCAAAGATCCATGAAGAAACAAAAACAGCACTCAAAAAGGCTGCTTCAACGATGAAGAAGCAGTATGACAAACATCATCACCCAGGACACCAGTATTCAACCAATGACAAAGTTTGGTTGGATACTACAAACCTCCATCTACCACGCCCGAAACAGAAACTGGCCGATAAACGAACAGGACCATTCCAAGTCTTAGCCAAAATTGGTAACTCTGCATACAAGTTGCAACTACCAGCAACTTGGAAAATTCATAATATTTTTAATGAAACATTATTGACACCATATGTGGCTCCAGTCTTTCCAAGTCAAGAATGGCCACCACCACAGCCACCAGAACTCATTGATGACAAGAAACATTATGAAATCAATGAGGTCCTAAACCACAAAACATGGAAGGTTAAAGCAAGAGGCAGAGGCATGAAAATAACTGTTGACTACCTAGTCAGCTGAAAAGGCTATGGACCAGAATCCAATCAATGGGTCAACAAGAAATACATGAATGCAGAGGAGGCTATATGGGATTACGAACACAGAATCAACCAAGTGGACATAGAGGGAGTCATGTTCAACATTATATCTGTGAAACATGATGTGGTGACAAAAGGAAGAAAGATGATATCTAGCCAGATATACAACAACCAACCTGCTGACAGCAGAGGCCATGTAGCAGAGGATGATGAAGATGGCAGTTCGATGGATGAGCCAGAAATGGTGGAGACATACAGCGAAGAGCAATATACCACCTCTTTGACTTGTTTGAAGCCTGGCAACCAAACAGTGAGAGGTCCAGCAAATCGGCCACCTCCTTCTGAAGGGGGGGGGGTTTTACCCTAACTTAACCATCAGGATGATGGTCTTAAGGAGGGGGTAATGTTACAATTTTTCCTATTTTCTTCTCTTTTTTCTTGGAAATGACCTCTATCTTTGCTTAGTCAGAGTGCTTAGGCCAGTGCTTAGGACCATGGGAATGCTTAGCTCAGCACCCAAGTCAGTCACTCTCCTATCATGATGCTATGCACTGTGAAGAGAGAGACAATGCTCCTTTTGTCCCTAAATTGCAGTGCAGCAACAGCAGCACAACAGCCTTTGTGGAGAGCCTGGCAACAGCAGGGGTAACAGCTCTATGACAGACAATATCTTTTGTGAACATTTATTTATAGCATGATAACAGAACAGTATTTAAGTAGCTTAGTTCTTGCTGTAATACCCCAGTCTCGAACTAAAGTTTTATCTTCACCATCTTATCTTGAGCGAACTGCAATGCCTTGACAACACAACACTAGTCACACACAAGTGGACTCTGACAGTATAACCCAAAGTGTGAGGTTCTGTCAGTTTATCATGTGTCTCTAGTCATGTGGAATTTGGGCTTAACAATAACAGAGTAGTGGCTAAAAGAATACCAAGTACAAAAAGCAAGTATTATAAGCATGATTACAATACCCTGTAACATTGATTAATGAAGTCATGCAACATACACAGTATAGGTCTTGAATGAAAGACTGGACAGTCTTAGACAAGTGTGAAAAAAATTTCAGCTCAAAGAGCCAATACAGATGCTGACTTTGTCAGTATCTATAGAATATGTGTAACTGATTCTGTGACAGTTAGAAGTCTATTTCTATTTTGAAACAATAGCTTGATAGTGAATTTCAAATATAATGATAAAGATTATCAAGCTTGAAGACATCTGAGCTTAGTAATCCTATATTTATTTGGAAAACTTGTATATAATAGAGTCAAATAATACAGGTTTTAATTTTGCTTTTACTCCTATATTAATTGTCCCACATCCACTGCACCTTATTGTGCTTTGAATCTTCTATGTATTACAATTTGATATTCATCATCAAGCTTTATATTAGTCAGATCATTGCTGAAATCAGTCAGAAATGATATCAAGAGTAGAGTCCTTTGTGCTTCATATTGACAAGTTCAATTGTTTACATTCCACTCATTTTCTGTACACTTTGAGGTCATGAATATATTCAGGAAATAGCCTGATTAAATTTTGTGGCTGTCAGTTTTTGTCTGGATGCTGACAGGCTATAGTATGATCCTATTCATTTAAAGCTCTATTTTGCAAAGAATATTTGATATGAATAAGCATTATTCTCAATTAAACTGTATGCTCACAATGGATCATATCTCACCCAAGATTGCACTCATCCATGACCACTCTTTCTTCAAAAGAAACATCCTCTCTTGGCATGCAACCAATTTCATTAGATACAAGCTGATATAACCACAGTCAGAACATACAGTATAATAGGCAAGCAAGACAAAGTAAAGCTAGTAGTAGATAGAAGTATACATATGCCCTTTAGTGCATCAATAAACTGGACTTTATCATTGATAAATTATTTCAAGGCACAAAATATTCTTATATAAAAGCATTAGTCAATGTGCAGATATTAGCTAATTGAAAACTAACATATAAATCAATAGAAAGGTATCAGGGATTCTAAGGCACCACATTATTTGAAATAGAGCATAACAGTCTTGTGTTCCATATTCTAGACTTCAACAATATCTACTTTCAATTTCATGTCATAGATACTTCAAAATTGTATTCTTTTGGGCTTATCATATAGACTGGCCCTTCACATTCTAATGCACATTGAAAAGTATGAGTCAACCATGGCTACTACAGCACAATCAGATGCACCATTATCAATCAATCATCAAGGATCTTCCAGTTGGTACAAAGCCTTCATTGGTTTTGAAGTGCTCTGCTAGACCCTTGAGTTCATCCTCCAAGCTCTCAACTTGAAGTCTATCTTCTGGAAAATCCAAATCATCCTGACATCAACAGCTAGAACATCAGCTTCCGAAAATCCACAAAATAAGTATACCATGGCTGCAGCATCGGAATCATCATCAAAGTTATGGTCCAAAGAAGATTGCTCTGGATTCTAAAGAAATTTGCGTTTCAATTAAGGAAAGCAAGGAGCAAAAATCAAATAGTGCCTACAGAATTCATCTCAGTGAAATCTCTGGAAGTACCGACAACTTCCCATACCAATGGGGCATCGTGTACCTCCGGGTTAGCAGGCCCTGCATGCTGCCATGTCTCCAAAGAGAAACTTGGTTTGGTATCAATTCTCGAATGCCATAGTCGCTCGTTGTGGACTGTGTGCATACGATGGAACCTCACAGCTGTGTTACAAGATGGATTTCAGGAAGCGAAGCGCTGACGGGAAGTTTCTAAGGTGTGACCAGTTATTCTATTTAACGATTCCTAGTTATACTTAAGCAGACCAGTCCTCTGTGATTATTACCAATCATTTCCGTAAATCCGTGCTATGAGCTTTCTCATCATCTATTAATATTTATCATGGATACCTTGCTAGGTGCCAGCCACAGAAAGGTAAACTGTCGACACTGTGGGATGAAGGATGTCAAACCCAAGTAAGGTGGATATACTGTATTTACAATGAAAACCATCTCCGTTCAGAGTTCTCTACCGAAAGAAGTGATCCTATTAGCCATAACCCGGCAGTGCAATGTAACTACCATGGAACAAGCGGTCATGGATTACTAGATCCTGCCGACAATTCGAAGGCATTAGTCATTTCTACGAACTCCCGAAGAATTTATCGGCACAGGGAACGTTTCGTGATGAGGAGCTAGTTGGTTTAATTGATACACAATCGCTGCTCACTGCATCCTCACTTCCGGAGAAAGTATGAAACCACATCAAACCTTAGAAGTAATTTTAGGTCCTTGACTGTTTGTGGTATGGCACATGTACCTTGTGGCGTCTATGGCGCCAATCATCTCATCCGCTGTTGCTGGCAAGATCTTGGTCCCGAAGTTATCGGACTCCGAGTCGGTTCATTTACCGTACCTTCGAGCTCCCAGTCCTTTTGAACTCGATTCTTAGGGGAGATTTACCGCAGGAAAGACGCTCTAAAGTTGCAAGTCGCAACATGATCGAGTTCTACTCAAGCCGTAACGATCAATGGAAACAGTGGCAGCATCACAACAGCTATTATGTAACAGCCTCGTCACTGATTTGAGCCGTTATAAGCGCCTACTGGTGGAGCCGCGTGTGTACCTCCCACCACCCACGCAAGAGCCACTAATTAAGTGTCTACCTCCCCCAATTTGTAGGTGCTCTCGTCCTCTTCAAAGGTTGTCCCGGTCGCTCATATTGAATAAGATGACACAGAATCTTAGACAACCGAGAGAACACGCCAATGCGCCTATCAAGTTTTCCTCAGAAAACAATTATGTGAGTATTCGCCTTCGCCCTGTCGACCAAGAAAACACTGAAATTCCAGCGCAGGATATAATTAGCTTGCTCGAGCAGTACGAGAAGCAGCTGGCGATACATTATGAGATGGCAAGTGGAACAACACCAGATGTTGATTCGGTGGCGGTGTTCCAAGAGGCAAGAGCTAGGGCGATGCGCAAGAAAGACAGCTCTTCCGTTCAGGCATATCAATTTCTCCACCAACTCTATCGCATTAGGCTCCGATTTCATTACAAATCCATTACATCACCGTTCCTTGCGAAGCAGGACAGCCCCTCGACCATCGAGGTAGGCAATATTCGGATTCTTTACCATAGGAATATGCTTGCTAATCGCTGGTTGGAAGCCACCTCTTGAAGTGGAGCGCTCAAGATTCTGGGCAGTGATAATAGGCATCGACGCGTATGATTCGTATCCATTGCAAGGCTGTGTATCCGATGCCACTTCAATGGAGAAATACCTGAAAGAGGACTTGGGCGTGCCGCAAGAACGAATACAGTTACTTCTTGGTTCTGAACACAGCTCGTCCGAAGATCCCTCCTTTCCATCCCGTGTCAATATTGTAAACACGCTTCTTGGTCTCATTGATAACCCTCAAATCGAAGTAGGTGATAATATCGTCATCTACTTTTCGGGGCACGGTTCGGGCTATTTCTCAGACGCATCCTTATACCGCGACGCCGATTCTGAGGAGGACGATGGGAGCGCTGTTGAAGTAGATAGATCCATCGAGACCATCTGCCCCATTGACAGAGATACCTTCGATGCCAGCGGGTTACGAGTCCCTGACATCAGCGACCGCGAGATCAACGCCGTCTTCCAACAGATCTGTCGAAGCAAGGGGCACCGAATTACTTTTATCCTCGACTGTTGTCATTCTGGTGGACACATTCGGCATTTCCCTGAGCCTGGTACACGTACTATTCCCCCACTACCGCGCGCGTCTCTTCAACGCATGCTCCACATGGCCGATGGCAGCCTTGGTCGCTATCCTACGTACAAATCGATTTTGGCGACGGATTGGCGTCCAGACATGTCTTCTCATGTCGTTCTCACTGCGTGCAAGGAATACCAAACAGCGAGAGAAGTGGAAACAGAAAGGGGGTATGGAGGGATTTTCACCCACGCGCTTATTGGTACCCTTCGAACAGGGAATCTGAGTGAGGAGTCGACGTATGTTGATCTTCTTTTTTCGCTTCCGCGGAAGCGCGGTCAGACTCCTGTTGTTGCTGGGAAGCATAAGCGTGAGCGCCTCTGGTACAAGGACTAGGTAGGCGAAATGTAGCTCGCTATATTCTCCTCATTCCAGCTTCCAACGTATCCCATTCTTGAGCCTTAATGTCCGAGATATGTTAACTATCAATGATAGGACCCTCTATCACCAAAATATGTAGATGCCGTTCAGAATCCATTTGCTGCATTCAGTACACGGAGCAACAGAACGGAAAATGAGCACACACCCAAACAGCAGTCTCTAAATGCCGAACCTGGCAACAAGACATAGCTTCGACCATTGAAGAATTCAGTGATGTCCTGGAAACGCTTGTCCTGACCACCAACTGGATCGACAACCCAACTGCTTGTCGTCAATCCTGTGTGGTATGAATTAGTATATATATGTTGGACGTCGCTCAAGAGAATAAGCTCACCGCCTGAGTTGGTATCGATAATAAGCGTCAAATCTTTAAAAGTGATCGGACGTATCGCAGGTCGGGGTATCAATTTGGAAGGTCAGAGCACCCAAAGAGCTCGGAGCTGGTAGGCGATATTTGACTAAAAGACGAGCTTATGCTCGTCTTTTAGCAACGAGGAAGAAAACCTGGCATACCGACTGGACATGCGATCCCAACCTCTGCAGCAGTGTCTGCCTCGAGTGATGAGGATGGACTATACAAGGCCGAGTTTTTTGGTGCAGTGCCAGTTTGTATGATAACAATAGCTTAATAGTCACGAAAGTAGAAGTCATGGTTCAATAGCAGGAGTGAATAGCAAGCAGCGAGGACGGCAGCTTGAAACACCAGCTCAGACAGAGACCCCTTTTCTAGGAAGAGTTCGGAATTGCAAGCAAGAGCCTCTCGAAAGACACAAAAATGATGTATGTACACGCATGCAGCCAAATTATAACCCTAACCATAATAAAGGTAAGGTTAGGTTTACATTCAATATCTGGAGGGGGATCATACCCTATATAAAGCAGTCCCATCCTTCCCCAGGCCCTCACACCTCTCCCTCAAACCACCACTATCGACAAATCTCACCCTTCCACGCCTCCTGCCTACGTCCGCACTCATTCAACCAGAACCTCTCCTTTCATCTGTGAGCATTTCTTCTTGCTTCACCGTGCATGTCCAACGAGAAAACGAGGCAGCGATGACAACGCAGCAGGGTAGGGAGTCACGAGAACCGTATTCGTTACCACCAACGGCGTTCTACACCCCATCGAGGGCATCTCGCGTTATTCCTGTCTATAGCGACGCGCAGTTGACCACGCCGGTCCATGTTCACCGCCATTATGTATCCAGACCCGACGCGTCCTATCCGCGATCTGTACGCGAATATACCGCGCCGCCCTCGCCGTCCATCCTCGGTAAACCGCGCCATCGTCACGTCCCGCCGCCATCTCAAATAGAAAGCAATATCCAGACGGTTGTGCATCTACTGTTGCGTCCGAGCCGAGGGGAGATGATGATGGTGCTTGACTTTGCTCAGTCTGGCGTGCGTGCGTGTTCTTGGTTATGAGGCCTGCGTCAATGAGGCGGCGACCAGCCCGCCTCTTCCGTCACTGGCCATCATCCACCAAAAGCTTCCATGGCCCATAGTCATACAGAGGTCGGGCGATCGAGAATGGGTCACGGTCGCCGACGTTGTTAAGACGCTATGGTATGCTCTGCACATACGCGACGCCTTACAGACGTCAACATCGTCACCGTCCCTCGAAAGTCAGGACGATGCGCCTTTTGACGGTCGTCGAAGCATGCGAGGCTGCGACGAACAAGAAGTGGTCCGGCGGCCCAGACTGGTGTACTTGAGGGGAAAGACACGATTTATGGGACTCCGCGCTATAGGAGGCGACACCTGGGAACTACTTGCTGCATAGGGCGCGTAGGTCGCGCCTATGCGGCCGTCGGGATATAATTTTTGAAGCGAGAGCTGGAGACTCATGTATGTACTATCAAAGTTGTATCAGTTATACGCAACAGACAAAGACAATGGACTACCTCTAGAAGAGCTTACATCTCTTTGGCCTAGTCTGAGTGCCGGTGCATAAAAGGGCGACAACCATCGACATTGAGAGCGACACTGCTCAGCTATCGGTGACGATGACCCTTAACCCTAGGGAAAAGTGGGGTTAGGGTTACACTCCTAGTGATTCCCCAATTGTTTGGTATCTCCCACCATGCTTCTCTCGCCGACGAGCTCCGTTAGGCAGACGAAAGGGCTCTGCACATCACACATGCAGCATCGGTCTTCTTTCCCAATACCCTACGTCACCACTGCACAAAGCGCTCTGCCATTGCACATCGATGCTATTCTCGAGTGCGAATACGATGTCAGCGTGATCCGCGGTGAAATGAGGGCCCATAAATTCGGTATCGCAGATCGTCTCATTAGAGCCAACGAATACTGTGGTGAAGATTTTCTGGAGATTCGGCAAGACAGGTACTAGGTCAAGGTTGTAAGGTGGAGAACGCGGGCCGAATGCTGTATCAAGCAACAAACATTGCGATCTAACAGGTGCCCACGTGCGCAGCAATATTGAAACGGGCTTCTCAGAGCGCATCTGGAAAATGGCTTAAGCAACCTACAAAATCACGGCCGTTAGAACTCGAGTGCTGCAATAACAGCACCCACGATTTACTGCGACATGAGCACAGCATCCTCTCAGAGCTTTTCCTCCATTGCGATGGCTGTCACCACGATTTTCGTCACAAGCATCCATCGTCTACTAACGACGATTCATCCCGCCCGCGGCCCTGCTACCATGGCAGCATATTTGACCATCGGCATGCTCATCGTTACCGCCTTTTTGGTACTGAAGTTCTAAAAGCTGAGGGCTAGGATGCGGCGCTGGGAATTGGCATGGGATAGACATGAAGGGCAACTTGAAACTGACGTGTCCGCGTATGGCGACGAAAAAAAAGCATCGCTGAGTGGCGAGATAGAGCTAGCGCTTGCTAAAGAGGCCCAGACGGGCGACATCGTTCCGGTGAATGATATGGGAGAGAGCACGAATACGTTGTCTATCGAAGAAGGAAGCTGGTTGTCGGGGAAAGTGCAGTACTACTACCACGGATGAGTGCCGACTTCACCACAGCCTTCATAATTACGTACCCGCTGGTCTTTTCGCCTAACGTTCCCTTCAACTATTATACTCCTTCGTTATTGAAACGCAGTTTCAGTGCTTCGTTCTGCGATAGAGTATCTGTCAGAGGGAGAGATAGGTTCACAAAAAATATACTGACCTTGATTGGCCTTAAACTTGATTCTCTATAGATTGTCTTGGTCCTATACCATTCCTTAGCCTTAGTGGGTGCATCGGAGAAATTCCCACTCACCATAAATCACAAATAACGAAGATATTCTCAGCACCGGGCGATCAAATTGCCTTTGACAAGCTGTATTGTAACGGACGGGCCCGTTCTACTTCCTTTTTCGTAACATAAACCCGGACTTTATTTGAACTATGCTTATCTATGCACTCCACTCTTATCTACGTATAAATACTTGGTCGTGCCTAGAATTACGCCAGTCTTTCTTACCTTTTCCCCCCGAATCGAGGTGTCTTCAACCCGGTCCTTGATTCGTCCTTGTGTGCCGCTACTGACTATCATCGCTAACGTCACATATTTTTGACCTCAGAACAAGAAACCTCGCTTAATCGACTCCTGAATCGACGGGCCTAACCCCAGGAAAGCGCTGGACTGATCACCCGGTTCTCTCTTGGCTTCGCCCCGTCACCCTACAGACTCTGCTTCGTTTACTACCTCTTTCTGCACTCGACCTTCTGCTTTCTTCTTTTCTCTCTCGAATCACTAGACATTAATGTCTCGTTATCAGCTACGTAGCCGGGGTCCCTTGACGACCCCAGTGCCTCCGGCCCCTAATGTCGCTGCTCAGGTGCAGCAGACTGAACATGATGAGTCCCCTTTGACTAGCTCCAGGGATACTGACTCTTCCAGAAGAAACCTGGCTATGCTCGAGGATCGCTCCGCGAGCCTGAGTATTCGCACTGCCCTGCCACGACGTCGTGCTGCCAGCGACGCCGGGGTTATGCCGAAACCCTCTCACCTTCGTGGGAGTGGTGGACGTACTTCTGCTTCATTGGAGTACGAAGATGCTGTGGAGTTCTCTCTCTATACAGCTGAACGTGATGACCAAGCTGGTCAAGCGTATGACACGAGTTATGACTCGATGCCAGGGGAATGGCCGGATGGCAATCCCGAAGATGGCCTGCCCGACGACCGATCTGAGGGTCAGAACACGGCGCATGGCCTTGAACATGAGGGTAGACGTACCTTACATGTAGATGAAACTAGTATTGCTAGT